TAATAATATATATATATATATATATATATATATATATATATATATTATAACAATATATTATATCTATATGAAAATTTATAAATAAATTAACAAACTCATAATTAAAACTATAAAGATCGATCATATATAAATACTATTATTAATGATCAATTTTTTGCTTAGCTATTCAATAATTAAAAGAAAAGCATCCAAAATTTCGATATCAAATAGTTGCGATAGCCGGAGACTGTGTTCAACCTGGTCTCGGGTTGTCTTCCGCGGACAGACAAATGATAACGCGAGAAGTTTCTATCGTTTTTCACGTTGCGGCTACGGTCAGATTTGACGAGAAAATGAAACTCGCTGTACCTATTAATGTTCGTAGTCCCAAAGAAATGATAGATCTTTGCAAGGAAATATCATATTTGAAGGTAAGTTATTTACATATGTGTAAATAACTAAATAAATATCTATATGTATAATTTATTGAAATTATAATTATATCGTAAAACAAATTTAATAATAATAAACGAAATTTTCAGTCGTTTGTTCATGTGTCGACTGCATATGCCAATTGCCCGCATGATCTTATTGAAGAAAAAATATACGAAGCACCAATGGATGCGCACAAGTTAGTAACAATCATTGATTACATGGACGATAAATTGGTTGAAGATATTACTCCGAAGTAAGAAATTTTTTTAAACAATTATATAATTTAAACAATATAATAATTGAATTCGAAATAATCAAAATTATATTCGATTTGTTCATTTTTTTTTCATTATATTTATTTATGTTATAATAATTTAATTCCTACAGATTATTAGGTGCATGGCCGAATACATACACTTTCACAAAAGCAATAGCAGAAAGTGTTATTGTAAAAGAGGCCGGCGAATTGCCTATTGGAATATTTCGACCTGCCATTGGTTAGTAATTTACAAATATAATGCTTAATATCATCCATGATTTTAAATGATTTTCTGGTCATTCCAATCGTCTTTTTAATTTGTTTCAAATTTCTTTACTCTCATAATTACTTTTTATATTTTACATATATATATACAAAATATATAAGATATATATGTCTTATTCAATCGATTTATTCAAATATGTATTCAAATTATAGATAATGTTTTAGAAAAATGTTTTAAATAAAAGTTTAATAATTCCAAAGAGTATATAATTTTACACAATTAATATTTTTACGGATAAAGAGTATATAGCATCATTTATAAACATATGCAATTCAATTTGCAGAAAAATTATAATATCTTAATATCTTAATATTGCACAATAATATTTCTTTATAAATTTAAATAATTTCTTCCTTAAAAGAATCATAGAATTTTTTTCTTCATATTCATTTTTTATATTTAAATTCACTACATTTAGATATTTAGATATTTTGCATATAATATATAAATATATTCATAGGATATCTTTAAAGAATCAATTTTAGAGAAATAAATATAAAAGTTAATATATAAAAATATTGGTTAAAATTTATTTATTTTAAATTACAAACAATTAAGCCTATATTAGATGAAGTAAAGCGGAAATAGAATGCAATAGCTGTGTAATAAAAACAGATTCTCTTTGTCTAGCTTTATCTAACGCAATTTTAATTGTTTATAACTTAAAATTAATGAATTTCAATTGACATTTTTATATATCAACTCTTGCATTTATTTTGGCTTTTAGAATTAAACTTATAGAGTTATAAATTTATTTTATAGAATTAAATTTCTAAAAGTGTCTTATAAATATAATATTTTGTATATAATAACGAATATATATTTTGATTCATATCGTGTTTATTTTAAGTAGAAGTAAAATATAATAACATTATTGGGAAAAAAAATGATATGAAAATAGCAACATATCTATTATAAAAGTATAAAGTATAAAGAAAATATAGAGAAAGGAGGATATCGGTCAAATATAAATAGAATATAATTAATTGAGTATTGAATTTTCAGTAATATCAACATATCGTGAACCAATTCAAGGATGGATTGATAATCTATACGGACCAACGGGTGTTGCGGCTGGAGCTGGTACTGGAATTTTACGATCAATTCATTGCGATGGATCTATACAAGCCAATGTCGTTCCTGGAGATTTAGCAGTAAATGCTTTAATAGTTTCCGCTTGGGATGTAGCGGATCGTCGAAAGTGAGATATGAAATTAAAATTTTTCTATCTGATATTTGATTTCAATCTCCATAACATTTTCCCTTTTTTCTCATGCGTGATTTATTTATTTAAATCTTTATCTACATTTACAGATCTACAATTAGTAAAAAAGAAAAAAATGATATACCGGTTTACAATTATGTTTCAAAAGATAATCCTATAACATATGATGAATTGAAAGTTTTATCTGAAAAATATGGACTTGAATTTCCCACGAGTAGAGCTATATGGTATTATAGCTTTCGAAATAACAAATACAAGATTATTCATTTGATCTATGTCTATTTATTACATTTATTGCCAGCACTTTTAATCGACACAGTCATGATCTGTTTAGGAAAACAACCTAGGTAATAAATTTTTATTTTTTCCTTTTATTTCATTTTTTTTTATTCTTTTATTCTTTTTTTTTAATTTTTTGAAAGGATGTTAAAAGTTTATAAAAAGATACATAAATTTATGAGTGTAATCAATTATTTTACTGTCAAAGAATGGAAATTTGCGAACGATAATGTTAAAGTGTTAATAAATAAACTATCAGAAGAAGATCGTGAAAATTTTGCTTGTGATATTACTCAAGTTGATTGGGATCATTACTTTCGAACGTATGTGCGAGGACTTCGTATTTATCTCATAAAAGATTCTTTAGATACTCTTCCACAAGCACGTATTAAATGGCAAAGGTAAATTTAATTAATAACCAATTTGATTTTTTTTTTAATTCTAATAATTAATAATTCCAGTTCATGATTGAATGTTTGATTTACAGATTATACTGGAGTCATCAGGTACTAAAATTAATTCTTGCATATGGCTTGTTGCGAATATGTTGGTTAATTATATCTTTTTTCTTTTGAAGTGATATATGTTAATTTGCGTATTAAATGTGTTTTATACATATATAACGAGTGCGCTCAATTACGTACATGTATTTGTATGTGCATATGTATTATTACATCAATTATAATATTTATGCATTTTTCATTCATCAAATATAAATTAAAATCAAATTTGTTTTAACTCACACTTATAATCTAAAGTGAGATTATCTTTTTGGATAATTTTAATAATTTAAATAATTTTGAAAAAATAAAAAATAAAGAAAGAAAGGAGAAAAAAATATGGGAAAAAATAATCAATTTCAATATTAATTTGTTAATTAAACAAATTTATTATTTCATTTGCATTTTTTGTATTTCTTATTTAATTTTTAAGAACATTAATTAACTTAAGATTTTAAAATAATGAGTAATAATTTTTTAATAATTTAAAATCTTCGATTTAAAAAAATGTATGAGTGTTAGAAAAATTTATATAAAGATAACTAAATAAATATAATTTGCTTCTTTTCATTTTTTCTTTTTTTTTGTGATGTATTTTTATAGGACGATTTTTTGTTTACTCAAAAAACTCAATTTCATTCATTTTTTTTTATTCAAAACTTATATTTTTACAAATTCATTTTTAATAAAAAATATATAATTCTTTTTTCTAAAAATCAAATTAATTCGATTTATTTATTTTTTCATTATTGTTCATTGAAAACATAATTAATATGTTTAATTAACAATTCTACATTCTTGAGATTTATATTTGCATATAGACCGTTAATATATTCGTGAGAGTATATCTTTGAAAAATTGATAGCAAATATAAAAGTTGATATATAAAAATATTAGTAAAGTTAGACTTATTTATTTTATTTTTTATTATATTTTTTAAGTTATAATTGAATATAAATAATCGAAGAAAGTTTATTGAATATAACAAAAATTTTTTTATTGATAAAAAAATTATATTGATAATTGATAAATTATATTATATTATATCACGAATAATGAATAAATAAATAAATACAATATTCAACACATTCACATTTTTTTCGAGATATGTTATTTAGATTTGATCATGTTCAGCTATGATGAATATTTTTTGTAAAGGAAAATATTGCTTAAAATTATTTTAGGAATCTCCAGTTTAGAGATGTTCCAACATTTTTGGAACCTTCTATATTAATTTTTTTGTATCATTATTTTATTTATTCATTTTATAACCTTTTAAATATTAAATATAGCAGTAATGAAAGTAAAGAAAAATATTGCTCAAAAATTATCTCAATCTCCATTTTACGGATATTTCAATATTTTTGGATATCAATGATATTTTGCATATCAATTTCGGTTTTTTTGTATCATTATTTTATTTATTCATTCTACAATCTCTTAAATATTAATAATATAATAAAATTAAAATATTAATTAAAAAATTTTATGTTTTATTTAATAAAATCGCTCAAAAGAAATATAAAATATATCTAAATAATCATATCTATAAATATAAAGTTTCAATTCATCCTCTTCTAAACTTAAAACATTATATTGATTATGAAATCAATATAATTCAATTTAAATTTGTTTAAACAAAGCGAAACAACATAATGGATATAAAGTCTCTCCTTATTTCTTACAAATTTTAATTGTTTATAGTTAATAAGTTTCAACAATATTTTTATATACAATTTTTTATGCGCAATCGACGATTTATTGGAATTAACTAACCGAATATTTCAAGAAAATACAATTAAATTTAGCTCTTTGTACTCCAGGCCTTTTTCGTTCGGGCGAACAATTCCAGACGATTTCCTACATCCGGTGAATTTCTTAGCTAACTTAAAATGATTGCACAAATTAATGTATAAAATTTTTATATTTTAATATTTTATGTATCTTTATATATAAAAAACAAAATTTATCAAATATTAAAATCTATATTGTTGTTTTGTGTGATATTTTAACAACAATGTAATTATCAAGATGCATCTTCGATTTGTCAGGGCAAGTATTATAATAAAATATCGTTTGATATCTTTCACTTTTCTTATTTTATTGAGAGCAAATCTTATAATCCCAATAATGTGCTCTCACATTCACTGTTTATAATTCTTATTTTTTATCTTCTTATATATCTTTATTTTTGTCACTATTTTCCTTCTCTCTATCATCAATTTCTTAATGAATAGAAATAATTTCCTTATTCAATAATGAAAAACTCATCTTGAACTAATATCTCAATAATGTGTTTTCACATTCACTATTTATTATTTATATTTTTCATCTTCTCTCATTATATTTCTATTTTCCTTCTCTCTATCGTCAATTTCTTAATGAATGGAAATAATTTCGTTATTTAATAACGAAAAATCAAATTCATCTTCATTTAAACTAATTTCATTATCATATTCTATGCTTACAAAACTCAAAAACTTTGAAAATATTTCTATTGTCATGACTGTCAAATTCGGACTAACGCTGAAAATGTAATTCGATTTGCGATCACAGTCTAATTTCAGATAAAAAAATCTAACCATTTGATAGTATATTATTCTACACTTTATTATTAAGATTATATTATATATATAAAGAAAGAAAAAAAAAAAGATATAAATATAAAGATTTTAGGAATCTATTCATGAAGCGATATTTTAAAATATCAAACATAAATAAATATTATCGCCATTCGAATTGCCGCATCGATCCAAATGATACCCGAGAATCTACTATAATATATACTCTACTATATATAATCTACTATAATAATACTACTTCTAGAGTTATCGCATTGAACCGACTGGAAAATTGGAGCGCAGAGTTAAGTTTAAATATCTTTTATTATATAAATTCTTTATATATAATTATAATTAAAAACCAAAATTAATGTTAACATTTATTATTTATATTTTTCATTTTTTTATTGAAAAGAGATTATAATAAAAATGTCTTAATAATAAAAGTCTCAAAATTAGTTATTATTATTAGTCTTATTAATATAAATTTCGCATAATATAAATATTGTAAACTTTTATGAATTTCTATACTTAAAAATTCATTATTCATTATAATTTTGGACGAAATATTAAAATAAATGGACGGAAAAATGTACTTATTTAAAATATTAATATATTCGTGTAAAATATCTGGAAACCAAATAAAATTAATATACAAAAATGTTTATTGAGACTTACTTAACAAGTTATAAACAATTTGGCTTGTATAAGATAACTATAAAAGCGAAGAACGAAATTATAATATGACGAAACAAAGGAGAAAACAAAGCTATTCATTTTATTTTATATATTTGTACATTTATTATAATGTACATTTTTTTTATTTTAATTATTATAATTAATAATTAATAAATTAGTCTCAATTGGCATTTTTGTATAGCAATTTTTATATTTTTTTTTATTTCTAAAATCGATTTTTCAAAAATGTCTCACGAATATATTAATAATCTGTATACATTGTGATACAA